CATACTTTTTCCACATCTAAACCATAGCCTCACTCCATTAGGAACAGCCTAAGACCTACTTCTATGATGAGCTAATGTCACCTACGCTGTGACTAAATGATGTCACTGATCAGACCGTGATATGTAGAGATTTGAGCCATCCCCTTCCTACGCGAGACTTGGCAGAAAAGCAGTTTTCAGGAACAACACCTATTATCATTCTTTTTTTTTGGGGGGGGGGGGTCCGGTTGTGGGGCCTGAACTCTGGGCCTGGGTGCTGTCCCTCAACTTTTCAGCTCAAGGCTAGTGCTTTACCACTAGAGCCACAGCGCCACTTCTGGCTTTTTTTTTTCTTTTTGCTTATGTGGTACTGAGGAATCGAACCCAGGGCCTCATGCATGCAAGGCAAGCACTCTACCACTGAGCCATCTTCCCAGCCCTATCATTCTTATAATGATGGTTTTCAACAACTTGTCTTGTGTGTGTGTGTGTGTGTGTGTGTGTGTGTGTGTGTGTGTGTGTGTGTACCAGTTCTTGGGGCCTTATGCCCTCAGTTGGTTTTTTTACTCATGGCTGGCTTGAGCCACGGCTCCACTACCAGATTTTTATTGATTCACTGGAGATAAGAATCTCGTGGACTTTTCTGCCCAGGCTGGCCTTGAACTTTGATCCTCAGCTCTTGGTCTCCTGAGCAGTCCTCTAAGGCTACAGGTGTGAGCCACCAAGGCCCAATTCAACAACTTTTTCCAACCCTCAACATCTCTTTTTTTAAATGACGCATTGGGATGAACTTTCATCTCCTATCCTAGACATGAGTAGGCCTAGTCCTTATGCTGCAGTATCATGAACACTTTGGCTTGAGATTAAGTGACATATGACTGGACTACAAGCCATGTTAGCAAATATATTGATCTATATGAGGTAATCTGCTTGTATCTGTTTATAAATGTGCCATGTTTCATTTCTTCAGTCCCTTCTGCCCTTACCAGATTAACTGGAGATAGTAGTTTGATTTTCTAATTTGTCTTAAAACAGAATAAAAATTCCATTTTGGGTTCATGTGCCTTGGTTCATACCTGTAATCTAAGCCACTCAAAGGGGTGAGAGAATCTCAAGCTAAGACTGGTCAAGTAAAAGCACAAGACCCTATATGAAAAACAAAAGCCCAAAAGACTGAAGGAATAGCTAAAGTGTTAGAAGGCTAGTCTAACAAGCAGGAAGCTCTGTATCTTCAGAAAAAAATAAACAAACACACTGGGTGACGGTGGCTCACACCTGTAATCCTAGCTACTCAGGAGGCTGAGATCTGAGGATGATGGTTCAAAGCGAGCCCAGGCAGGAAAGTCCATGAGACTCTTATCTCCAATGAACCACTAGAAAACTGGAAGTGGCGCTGTGGCTCAAGCAGTAGAGTGCTTGCCTTGAGCTGAAGAGTGCAGGGACAGCGCCCAAGCCCAGAGTTCAAGCCCCATGACTGACAAAACACACACACACACACACATACAAAACACACAAAACAAAGGCTCCTTCATGTATGAATTTCTGGGAGATGACTGCCATTCAAGTTTAAAATTTGATTAGAGATGGGAGCAGAAGCCATAGCTACTTATTAAGAGCACCCAAAACCTATGTATGCTTCTGGCTTACCATTCTTATCACTAGAAGATGTTTAGCAAAAATCTTTTTATTATTTCAGAAACCAGGGTGCTATTCCTATCTTGAATTACTTCAGCAGACAAATCTGTATCCTCCCCAAAAGAACAAACACTGACATTGAACTACAGTGCCCCCTGGCTTCCATATTACCAACTTACATATTCCTCTAAATTAAGTCGATACCAGAAAATGCGTGGTTATCCTCGCCCCAAAATTCCTTAGACAAATGCGTTAGGGATATGCACAAAATATCATAAGTTGTTTAGGGAAGAGATGTAAAGATTACACGTGGGAAGTGAAAGTGAGAACATGAGGCCAGGAGTTCAAGTCCCCGTAATAGGATACAAAAAAACAAAAACAAAACAAACCCTCACAAATTTTTTCTAAGTGAGTGACAAAAGCAAGCAAACAACAACACCAAACAAACAAACAAAAACCATAGCTTGGTTCTGGTGGCTCATGCTGGTAATCCTAGCTACTTAGGAGGCTAAGATCTGAAGATCGAGATTTGAAGCCAGCCCAGGAAGGAAAGTTTGTGAGACTTTTTTTAAAATATATATTTTTTATTGTAAAGATACTGTACAGAGAGGTTATCGTGAGACTTTTATCTCCCATTAACCACCAAAAAAAAAAAGAAGTGGAACTGTGGCTCAAAGTGATAGAGCCCTAGCCTTGAGCAGAAAGAGCTCAGGAGCTGAGCCCAAGCCCAGAAGACCAACAACAACAAAAACCAAAAACAAACGAACAAAAAATAATGGCTTTCCCCTTTTCTCTGAGGCAATAGCCAGTATTTCCTAAATGCAGGTCAAAGAACTGTGGAATAATAGAAAGACTTGAAGTATGTTACTTGCAGAGTTTGTAGAACAAGTTAAATCATAACCTTTATGTGTTTATAGTCTTTGGCCAAAATGAGAAATAAAAAATATGTTCATACATTTACCTAAAGAAATGAAGTACCAACTACACCAAAGAATGTATGATTTTTTATTTATTTTTTGTCAGTCATGGGGCTTCTCCTCAAGGCTAGAGCTCTACCATTTGAGCCACAGCACCACTTCTGGTTTCTAGTGGTTAATTGGAGGTAAGAGTTTCACAGACTTTCCTGCCTGGACTAGCTTTTTTTTTTTTTTTTTTTTTCAGTCATGGGTCTTGAACTTTGGGCCTGGGCACTGTCCCTCAGCTCTGCAACCAAGGCGAGTACTACCATTTGAGCCACAGTGTCACTTCTAGTTTTCTGAGTGGTTTCTTGGAGATAAGAGTCTCATGGCCTTTCCTGCCTGGGCTAGCTTTGAACCATAATACTTAGAGCTCTGCCTCCTGAGTAGCTAGGATTACAGGTGTGAGCCAGTGGTGCCCAGATGAATTAAAGTTCACATTATAATGAGTGAGAAAGCAAATGCAAAATGAAAATGTGTTTTCTGCTCTCCACAGCCAGTATTTTATGATTCAAGGTAGTGTTGGTAAGCCTTTTATTGTGGAAGTATGGAAAAGCTTCTTTTTTTTTTTTTTTTTGTCAGTCCTGGGACTTGAACTTTGGGCCTGGGTGCTGTCCCTCAGCTCTTCAGCTCAAGGATAGCACTCTACCACTTGAGCCACAGTGCCACTTCCGGCTTTTTTTTTCCCCTGCTTATATGGTGCTGAGGAATCGAACCCAGGGCCTCATGCATGCTAGGCAAGCGCTCTACCACTGAGCCACCTTCCTAGTCCTGTGCCAGATTGTTTTTGAACCGTTATGGGGCTTGAACTCTTTCACTCAAGGCTGGTGCTCTACCACTTAAGCCACAGCTATACGTCTGTCTTTTGGTAGTAAATTGGAGATAAGAGTTGTAAGCATTATGCCCAGCTTTGGTCCTCAGCTCCACCCACACCTGAGCTCCTCACTGCCCTGGAGTTCCCACCATACAGCTGGCCCTTCCCGCTCTCTGCCCAGACCCACCTGAGCTCCCATCTACCTCACTTCCTACCCCAGACCCTGCTGTTACCTAGATAGTGGAGGCCGCCATGTGCTCCCTCTCCTCTAATAAGCCTTGTAATAATCTTTCTCCTGTGCCTGCCTGCCTCTGCACGGTCCTCTAGGATGGATGTGATGGATCCTTTCAAGAGTCTCATGGACTTTCCTGCCTCGGCTGGCTTCAAACCATAACCCTCAAATCTCAGCCTCCTAAGTAGGTAGCATTATAGGTGTGAGCCATGGGCACCTGGCTGCATGACTATGGTTTCATAAAAGTTGTCATTGGTAGAACCTCCCACAGCTCAGTGATTGTACAAAGTGCCTACGGTGACTGACAAAGGCCCTCAGTAGTGCAGTGTATACCTAGCATATATAAGGCACTGGGTTTGAACCCCAGCACCATCAGGAAAATAAAACTCAACATAAACTAGGCCAGGCCAGGAGAGACAGAATCAGTCACTTGAGCCACAGAGCTGTTCCATTTCATGGGCAGCCACAGATCTTTTGGTGGCAAACCTCTCCTACAATGAATCACTTAATAGATACTTGTTGCAGGTTTTAGCATCATCTGTTATTATTATCATCATTATTATTTATAGAAACCAAACTCTGCTGAGCATGTAAAAGCCAAAATACTTTCTTGGCTTAGGCTTGTAATTCCAGCTACTCAGGAAAGGGAGATTGGGAGAATCAAGATAAAAGATCAACCAGTCCTAGCTACTCAGGAGGTTGAGATCTGAGGATCGAGGTTCAAAGCCAGCCCGGGCAGGAAAGTCTGTGAGACTCTTATCTCCAAGTAACCACCAGAAAACCAGAAGTGGCGCTGTGGCTCAAGTGGTAGAGCGCTCGCCTTGAGCAGAAGAGCCGAGGGACAGCGCCCAGGCCCAGAGTTCAAGCCCCATGATCGACCAAAAACAAAAAACATAAAAGATCAGCCATGGGCAAACCACAAGAATCTCCCTGAAAACTTACAGAAGAGGGTTAGAGATCTGTACTCTGCCACTTGAGCCAGACCTCCAGGCCATCATTTGACTGGCCTGGCTAGCAAGCATAAGGCCCTATGTTCAAACTGTTCCCACACAAAGGGGAAGGGGGGAGGGGACAAAAAATAGAAATACTTTACTAAAAACTAGCTACTTGACTCAAAATCTGTTACTTAACATTTAGTAAATTTATTTAGTACTGCAATGGAGATAAAAGAAGAACATAAGAAGAGGAACAGCTTTAGGAGGGTTAGATGAGTCATTCATAATGGACTCAATGTATAGCCATAGCATTGAAGCTGCCAGAGGTGTAGAAGATTTGGAGAATGTCCAAGGACAGAAGAAATGATATCTGTGTCTAGAATTCAAGCACTTGGACTGAATGCCAACAATGACTATTCTTTGGTTCTAACAATGTCTGCTCATTCTAGATGCTACAGAATTTGTCTGCTTCCGAGGGTCAGCTGGTTGTCTTTGAATGCAGAATAAAAGGCGCTCCATCCCCTAAAGTTGAGTGGTATAGAGAAGGGACCTTGATAGAAGATTCTCCAGATTTTAGGATTTTACAGAAAAGTAAGTGGATGCTTCCAAACTGTTTTTCTGATCATTTATCTAAATAAATTGCGTATATATTTATTTTTTGTAAGTTTCTACCAGTCAAAAGCTAAAATAAAATCACTTATACTCATATTCTCCCAAACTAAAGTCTATTAATATTATTTTATATTCTTCAAGAACATGTCCATATATATTCTTGTTTTTAAAAAAATAAGTTGGCCCCACTTAGAATGGCAAAAATCAAGACCTCTAATAACAACAGATGCTGGAGGGGATGTGGACAGAAGGGAACCTTACTTCATTGTTGGTGGGAGTGTAAACTTGTTCAACCACTTTGAAAGCAGTATGGAGGTTCCTCAAAAGACTCCACATAGAGCTCCCCTATGACCCAGCAATCCCACTTTTGGGCATTTACCCAAATGTTTACAAACAAGACCACACTAAAGCTACCAGCACAACTATGTTTATTGCAGCATTATTTACCATAGCTAAGATATGGAACCAACCCAGATGCCCCTCAGTAGATGAATGGATCAAGAAAATGTGGTATATATACACAATGGAATTCTATGCCTCCATCAGAAAGAATGACATTGCCCCATTTGTTAGGAAATGGAAAGATTTGGAAAAAATTATATTAAGTGAAGTAAGCCAAGCCCAAAGAAACATAGGTCCCATGGTTTCCCTTATTTGTAATATCTAGTATATGTCTGAGTCAAGCAGAAAAGGTCAGATAAGGTGATGTTAGGAAAAAGAACCTTAAGATATGTATTTAAATGTTTTTTTTTTCTTTCATGCATTTGTTTCTAATGCATTTATAAGATTATTTCTTTGTTGCTTTGTATGTCCCTCCCCCACAGTATAACCCCTGCTTTCACTGTATTTGATGTCGGTATAATTTGTGGAGGGGAAGGGGAAAAACAAGTTGTTTAAATAAGGATACAGGTTGACCCGTTGCAACAATGAGAAGTACAAGTTGTCATGTCGAAAACGAACTTTACAACTTTGGTGGGGGGGCGGGGAGGGCTGGATGGGGGGTGGAGGGAGGCTGGGAAGGGATGGGAAGGGTAAACAAAGGAGGAGGCTACAATGCTTGATAAGAAATGTACTCACTATCTTGCCCATGTAATTGTAACCCCTCTGTACGGTATTTTCACAATAAAAATTTTAAAAAAAAAAAAAAAAACAGTCGGGCTGGGAAGGTGGCTCAGTGGTAGAGCGCTTGCCTTGCATGCATGAGGCCCTGGGTTCGATTCCTCAGCACCACATAAGCAAAAAAAAAAAAAAGCTGGAAGTGGCGCTGTGGCTCAAGTGGAAGAGCGCTAGCCTTGAGCTGAAGAGCTTGAGGGATAGCGCCCAGGCCCAGAGTTCACGCCCCACGACTGGACCCCCCAAAAAATAAAATAAAAATAAAAATAAAAAATAAGTCATACTGTTTGTTGGAGAATTTTTCTTTACTCAAAATATCATTGGCATGTTTCCATGTTAATACAGACTTTTCTTACTTTTAAAAAGTCAATAAACCAGGTGCTAATGGCTTACATCTGTAATCCTTAGCTACTCAGGGGGCTTTGATATGAGGATCTCAGTTCAAAGCCAGCCCAGGCAGAAGAGTCTTATCTACAATTAGCCATCAGAAGTGGAGGCTCAAATAATAAAGCATTAGCCTTGAGCCAAAAGCTCTGGGACAGCATCCAGGCCCTGCCTTCAAACCCCAGGTCTGGCACAAAAACAAAACAAAAATAAGCCAATAAGCCAAGTATGGTAGTACACTCCTGGAACCCCAGCAATTGGGAGGCTGAGACAGGAGGATCATGAGTTCCAGGCCAGCCTAGGCTACATTGTAAAACTCTATCTCAAAAAACAAAATAATCAGTAATATCAATTTCATATTTACTTAATCTCCCACTATTGAACATGTAACATGTTCACAAATATTTACTATTATAAATTATGATTCAATGTATATTAACATAAAATTTTAATGATTTTCTTTTTTCTTCTTTTTCGCCAGTCCTGGGGCTTGAACTCATGGCCTGGGCACTGTCCCTGAGCTTCTTTTACTCAAAACTAGCACTCTATCACTTGAGCCACAGGGCCACTTCCGACTGTTTTTGTTTATGTGGTACTGAAGAATTGAACCAAGAGTTTCATGCATGCTGGGCAAGCACTCTGCCACTAAGCCACATTCCCAGCTCCATGATTTTCTTTATTAGCATTATTACCATTCGTTATGGAAGTGGGAGTTTCATTGTGACATTTTCACACATGTATACAATGTGCCTCATTAACCTCACCCTTTCATGACTTTCCCTACTCACTTCCCCTTCTTAGAACAATTTCAATAGGTCTCATTGTTCTATTCTTTGTTTCTTTTTTTTTTTTTGTACTGGGGATCAAACCTGGGTCGTTGTACTTGCCAGGCCAGCACTTTGCCACTGACTACATTCTAGTCCCATTGTTCTGTGCTCATACATGCAAATAAACTACTTTGAACACATTTGTAGCAGAGCAAAGTTTTGTGCTCATCTATACTCCCTGCCTCAGAATAATTTCTAGTACTAGTGTTTTCCTGTAAATACAATTTTTAGGCTTTTAATATATAATCTATATACTGGCAAAATGTCATCCCAAAAGGTTGACTTAGGATGATCCCAGAAGGGACCACCCAAACTGAGATACTTTGAGGCATGAAAGATAGTAATAATGGTGCAGGACCCAATCCCAGAAGAAACAAGAGAAGCTGTGACATGTGTTTTGCTAGCTCTTTTTTACCACAACCAGAAATATATATCAAATGTCTTTTCTCACCTACCTTTGTCAGAAGTGGGTATTAGTCATTTTTAGATTTTCACTATTTTTATGGAACAAATATTGAAAGGGTTTTTTTGCTTTGTTTTTGTTTTTGCCAGTACTGGGGTTTGAACTCAGAACTCTGTGCTCACTCAGCTTTCTTGCTCATGGCTGATACTCTACCACTTGAACCAGATGTCCAGTCCATCATTTTACTGGTTATTTGGAGATAAAGTCTTAAGAACTTTACTATTTCAGCACTGGAAAAAGAAAGTTAAAAAGAGTCCTACCAACATGATGTTTTGCAATGTCTATATTGTAGAATGGCTGAATTGAGCTAATTAACATATACATTATCACACACTGCCTTTTTTTTCTGGTGAGTTATTTGCTTTCTTTTCTTTTTTGTTGGAGTTATTTGCTTTCTTGTTCATTTACTTCTTCCTATAACAATATAATAACACCGGAATCAGTGTGATATATGACTCAGAACTAATGTCAGGTTTGAGTAACAGTGGCAGCAATAATAATACATTCTGAATATCATTTAAATAGAGAGAGGAAAATAATGTTTTTTGGGTGCTTGCTTGCCAGATTTTTGGCTGATGGCATACCCTTCTGCACAGAAGCAAATTTCGCCTTGCCAATGCAATAAAACAAAAGCAAAAACACAGAATTTTTTGTTCAGTCCTGAGGCTTGAACTCAGGGCTTCGGCATTGTTCTTGAGCTTCTTGCTCAAAGTTAGCACTTTATCACTTTGAGCCACAGCACCAATTTTCTGGTGGTTCATTGGAGATAAGAGTCTCCTGGATTTTCTTGCCCAGGCTGGCTTTGAGCCACAATCCTCAGATCTCAGCCTCCTGAGTAGCTAGGATTACAGGCATGAGTCACCAGTGCGTTTTTATAAGCATTTATAATATTTTGTAAGCAATTAGTTTAGGTAGCATTGAATGAGTACAGATAAAAGAAAGTGGTTTCTGAATTCCAGCTAACTCAGGAACATTTTCTTGCCCAAGGTTTATTTATTTACCCTGAATAGTCCCAGGTGTGCAGCAATATCATTTTATTGCATTTGGGGTGAGAGCAGTACTGGGGTTTGAACTTAGGACCTTGTAATTGCTAAGTAGAAGCTCTACCACTTGATCTGTAGACCCAGTCCTTTTTGCTTAAGTTATTTTTCAGGTAAGATTTCATGCTTTTTCCTGAGGATGGCCTGGACAATGATCTTCTCTTTTTATGCTTCTTGCATAGCTGGGATGATATGTGTACACCACCATGTCCATCTTTTTATTGATTGAGTTTGATTCTCATGAACTTTTTGCCTAGGCTGATTTTCCCTATCTCAAGTAGCTAGGATTAAAAGCATGAGCCACCCTCCCTAGCTTAATTGCTTTGTTGGTGGTGGTGGTGGTGGTTGGTTGTGGGGCTTGAACTCTGGGCCTGGGTGCTGTCCCTGAGCACTTTAGCTCAAGGCTAGCATTCTACCACTTGAACTACAGTGCCTCTTCCAGATTTCTGGAGGTTAATTGGAGATAAGAATCTCACGGACTTTCCGGCCTGGGCTGGTTTTGAACCATGATCCTCAGGTCTCAGCCTTCTGAGTAGCTAAGATTACAGGCGTGAGCCACTGGCACCCAGCTGTGTGTGTGTGTGTGTGTGTGTGTGTGTGTGTGTGTGTGTGTCAGTTGTGGGGCCTGGGCGCTGTCCCTCAGCTCTTCAGCTCAAGGCCAGCGCTCTACCACTTGAGCCACAGTGCCACTTCTGGCTTTTTCTGCTTATGTGGTGCTGAGGAATCGAACCCAGGGCTTCATGCATGCAAGGCAAGCACTCTACCACTGAGCCACCTTCCCAGCCCGGCATCCAGCTCTTAATTGCATTCTTGATGCCCTTCTGTGCTTCTCTTGAGCTCATTGGTGTTTAGATCATATTGACAGATTAGTTTTAGCATATCACCCTTGACTATGTAAATTGGCAATGAGCAGGACTATGACCTTCAATCAGAAGCTTCTGATGAAAATGCAGCCTCAGTCAAATAAATACTCAGTATCTTTTTTTTTCTCCTTTTAGAACCTCGATCCATGGCTGAGCCAGGTATCTCAATTTTAATTTATTAATATGTTGTAAGTGATTGTGTGTGTGTGTGTGTGTGTGTGTATAAGAAGACATTTGAAATTATACTAGCATCAAGAAAAAGTGAAAATAAAGTTTTAGAAAAAAATCAAACTCTAATTATTATTGTAGGCCAAAAAGAAGGTGGGAACATGGGCAAACCTGATATGAGCAATTAATTATTGATTATTGAGGTGTGTCTCACAGAAATACTTTCCCTCTGTCCTGGGTCCCCTCATGCCTTCCCTAATGGGCAGAGCCATTTTCACAAGGTCAGTTTATTTGCAGTTCCGGGTCCTAAGTGTCTCAATTTTTTTTTTCCATTGGGTCCAGTCGTGGGGCCTAAACTCTGGGCCTGGGTGTTGTCCCTCAGCTCTTTAGCTCAAGGCTAGCGCTCTACCACTTGAGCCACAGCACCACTTCTGGCTTTTTTCTTTTTGCTTATGTGGTGCTGAGGAATCGAACCCAGGGCCTCAGGCATGCAAGGCAAGCGCTCTACCACTGAGCCACCTTCCCAGCCCAAGTGTCTCAAATTTTACATGTTGGATTTTGATTTTCAGAGCTTTGATTAAATATCCACAGAATTCTTAGATTTATTACTGTATTTGTTACTTATTTTGAAGATGCTGCAATAGATACAAATGAGAATACATGCCACTTCTACAACTCAAAATTACAAGTCTCTAAAAGCAAGCAGCACATAAATGTCCGAATGTCCTCTCTGTGACCACCCTGCAAAGCCTGGGCCAGGACAATGGCTTGAAGTGTTTGTTATTAGAATTCCATTTTCTAAGCCTGGCATTGGTGACTCACATCTGTAATCCTAACTCAAGTGGCTAAGATATGAAGATTGTAGTTCAAAGCCAGGCCAGATAACAAAGTCCATGAGACTCTTATCTCCCATTAACTACCAAAAAAGCCAGGAGTGGAAGTGTTACTTAAGTGGTAGAATGCTAGTTTTCATCCAAAAAGCTCAGGGACAATGGCTAGACCCTGAGTTTAAGCATCAGGACCAGCTCCAAAATAAAGGAAGGAAGGAAGGAAGGAAGAAAGGAAGGAAAGAAGAAAGGAAGGAAGGAAGGAAGGAAGGAAAGAAGGAAGGAAGGAAGAAAATACACTTCTCACACCTGGATAGAAAAGCAGTGGGCAATGGACATTTGCTCTCTAGCATGGCTCTCCACAGTTCTTCTAGAGGAAGTCTAGTTACATTAGCTCAACTATCATGAAGCACTGAGAGACAGGCTTTTCCTACTAGAACTGTGTTTTAATAACTTGGTTTTTAATTTCAGGGCTACCCTCTTGCCCCCTCCTCTTCACTAGTTGTTAAGGAATGTGTAGCTTGAATAAAGAAAGGCCATAAATACACCGTTCTCTCTGGAAATAATCTCTGTAAATATTCACAGAGGTTCCTATTATGGAACAATCCATAAGAATCATCGTAGAGTTCTGAAAGTGGAAATGGTGTTACTACTTTTACCCAGAACTTCCATTTACAATATGGGCTAATTACTATTACTGAAACAAAACATTAATTTCCAATTATTATTTTTCCAATTCAAAATGGTGGTCTTAGTTTAAAATGATCTCTTTGTGAATTTTGCCAAGGAAGATAATGAGAAACCTAGTGCTAGAGGCCTTAAGTTCAAATACCAGTACGACCAAAAAATATTGTCCTGTGGAAATGAGAGACCTAGATTTAGAAAATGTTTTACTAGTCATTTTATTTCTCACACACACACACACACACACACACACACACACACACACACACACACACCTCTCCTTTTCCTTTGACCTCCAATTTGTTTTCATGTCTTTTTTAAAAGTTTATTGTTAGCTCCATGTTTGCTGTCTGGACCGATGACATAAAAACAGGAGATAAAGCTGGACACTGGTGGCTCACACCTGTAATTCTAGCTACTGAGGAGGCTGAGATCTGAGGATCACAGTTCAAAGCCAGCCCAGGAAGGAAAGTCCATGAGACTCTTAACTCCAATAAACTACTCAAAAAAGCTAGACGTGGCACTGTGGCACAAAGTGATAGAGCACTAGCCTTGAGCAAAAGAGTTTAGGAACAGCAACCAGGCTTCATGTTCAAGCCCCACGCTGACCAAAAAAAATAAAATAAAATAAAAAGGAGATAATCTGAATGTTGATATATGTAACTTTTTTTTTTTTGGTCAGTCATGGGACTTGAACTCTGGGCTTGGGCGCTGTCCCTCAGCCCTTCAGCTCAAGGCGAGCGCTCTTCCACTTGAACCACAGCACCACTTCCAGTTTTCTAGTGGTTTATTGGAGATAAGAGTCTCATGGACTTTCCTGCCTGGACTGGCTTTGAACCACGATCCTCAGATCTCAGCCTTCTGAGTAGCTAGGATTATAGGCATGAGCCACCAGCGCCCGGCTTGTAACATATTTTTATAAAATCCCCGTCATTCCTGTCTGACTTCATGGCATAATTGATTCTATATTGACTCTTTTAGCCTGCTGACCAGTCAATTGGATCAAAGAGTTGTTTGGACCAATTGTTTTCCAAGAACTAATAAAGTTAGCTTCTTACATTGACTTCAGTAGAATCATTATCAATTAGCAGTAAATTCCATTACTCCATTCTCATGATTAAGTCAATAACCATTCTGTTTTCCCGGCATCTAGAGGAGATCTGTACTTTGGTCATTGCTGAAGTGTTTGCAGAAGATTCCGGGTGCTTCACATGTACAGCAAGCAACAAATACGGCACCGTGTCGAGCATCGCACAGCTGGATGTGAGAGGTAAGGTCTCTTTCCCTGTTGGAACAGTCCAAAGATCCTTTGAGCATGCTGTTTGTATTATCCTTCCTTACCATTTTACACATGAATCAAAAAAGGTTGGAATTATTTTTTATTGTTATCATAAAGGTGATATACAGAGGAGTTACAGTTACATAAGACAGGTAAAGAGTACATTTCTTTTTAGACTATGTCACCCCTTCACTCGCTCTTTCCCAGATTTTCCCTTCCATTCCCCACCCACTGTATAGTTCATTTTCAACAAAAGGTTGGGATTATTAGGAAATACAATGTTATCTTGCAAATACAGAGCGTGATACTGCAATATGCAGTTTAAAATTTCTTATTGTATGTAGGTCCATCACCACCTCAGTTTCCTTTATACTTGCTTTTTTCCCTTTTTAAAAAAAGTCATTAAGTGGTTGTACAAAGAGGTTTCAAGCTCAGAAGTCAAGTTTTGAGTATAAATGCATCTTGATCCATCCTTCTCCCCATTTTCCCCATCCCATCCCTATCCTTAAGTTCAATTTTTACATAATGTACATTGAATACAATGACTGTATTTTCCCACCCCACCTCCCTCCTCTCATGTGCCCCTTCTATTGCCCTCTGCCCCCCTCTGAGAAAAAGAAACATGTTTTAGTTTCCGGGTCTTCATTATACTTTCTAAGGAAACATCTCCCCGCAGTCCTGAGGTTGGAATTCAGGTATTTGTTCTTGCTAGGCAAGCATTTTACCACGCTAGCCATTCTTCCAGCCCCTTTTGGCTTTAGTTATTTTTAAATTTTTTTAGTTATTTTCAGTTATTTTTAGATTTTTTGTTCTTTTTTAGGATCTTGCACTTTTGCCCAGGCCAGCCTTAGATTATGATCCCCCCCTTCCTCTGCCTCCCTAGTACCTACCTAGTATTACAGGTGTTTAAACCACATGGAGCTTATTTTTATTGTTTGTTGGGTTTTGGCTGTTGTATTCAGGACCTGAGTGCTGTCCCTCAGCTCTTTTGCTCAAGGCTACTAGCACTCTACCACTTTGAGCCACAGCTCCACTTTTGGTTTTGGAGGGGTTAATTGTAGATAAAGTCTCACAGGGCATTAAGCCCAGGCTAGTTTCGATCCATGTCCTTAGACCTCAGCCTCCTGAGTAGAGAATTACAGGCATGAACCGCAGCTTTTTTTTTTTTTTTTAACTTTGGTCTGTCATGGGGCTTGAACTCTGGGCCTGGGCTCTCTCCCTCAGCTCTTCAGCTCAAGGCAAGCACGCTACCACTTGAGCCACAGCTCCACTTCTGGTTTTCTGGTGGTTTATTGGAGATAAGAGTTTCATAGACGTTCCTGCTCAGACTGGCTTTGTACCAGGATCCTCAAATCTCAGCCTCCTCAATAGCTTGGACTATAGGCGTGAGCTTCCAGCGCCCAGCAGCTTTTTTTTTCTTTCTTTCTTTCGAGAAAGATTATAATATTTTGCCCAGGCTGGTTCTTGAATCATGATCCTTCCATCTCTGCCTTCCTTGTAGCTGGGATTATAGACATGCACCATCATACCCTTCTCCTTGGTCCTACATAAAGTTTTAAAATTCTTTCCAAAAGAGAATTTAGATCTTGTTCTTGCTTTTTCAGGAAATGAAGACCTCAGTAACAATGGAGCTCTTCACTCCGCCAATTCCACCACCAACCTGGCTGCTATTGAGCCACAGCCATCCCCACCCAACCCAGAGCCTTCTATGGAACAGCCCCCCAAGCCCAAACTTGAAGGGGTCTTGGTGAACCATAATGAGCCCCGGTCCAGCTCAAGGATTGGGCTCCGTGTGCACTTCAATCTGCCTGAAGATGACAAAGAAAGCGAAGCATCTTCTGAGGGAGGAGCGGCCACAGCCAACCTGAGCAGGCCTGACTCCTTCCCAGAGAGGCTCAATGGACAAACAACAAAAATCCCAGAGCCTTCCTCACCCATCAAAGAGCCCCCTCCTGTTCTGGCCAAACCCAAACTGTAAGTAAAAAATTTGAATGAATAACAGACAGAGGCTGTAAGCCCTCCCCTTCTCTTCCTCTCCCTTTCCCTCTCTTCCCCCTTCCCCTCCACTGTCTGTCTCTCTGTGTCTCTGTCTGTCTCTCTGTCTCTCTGTCTCTGTCTGTCTGTCTGTCTGTCTCTCTCTCTCTCTCTCTCTCTCTCTCTCTCATGCTGGTCCTGGGTCTTAAATTCAGGTTCTTGTTTAGCTTTTTCTGTTCAAGGCTGACCCTCTACTACTGGAGCTATAGCTCTACTTCCAGCTTTTTGGTGATTAATTGAAGAGTCTCATGGACTTTTCTGCCTGGGCTAGATTCAACCCCCAATCCTCAGATCTTAGTCTCCTGGGTAGTGAGTGAGCCACTAGCTCCTGGACTTATAGCTTTTTTACTAATGAGGGAACCAGGGTCAGAAATGTCTCCACCTCGCTCAACACCACACACAGAATGAGTTACTGAAATGGGAGGAAGACCTAAGTCCTGGCTGTCTGCAGAGCCCAGGTGCTAAAATGAGGTTGTGACAAAAGGAAGTAGCTAGAATTAACAGGCATAAGCCACCAGTGCTCATGTTCAGAGAGTGGATAAATCCTTAGAAAGAAAGCCTGAGGATAAATCTAATTACAGAACTTCTCATGGTAATACAAAGCGACCAGGTACATTTCTAAGCAATTCATAACCAGCTATAATTTTGGCTTGATGTTGGGGATGGGAAGGTGAGACCAGATCTCACTGTGTAGCCCAGGTTGACCTGAGACAAAACCTCTTGTTTTGTGTGCAGTGACTCCACTCAGTTACAGCAGCTTCACAACCAAGTCTTGCTGGAGCAGCAGCAACTGCAAAACCCATCACCTTCCTCGCCTAAAGAGTTTCCCTTCCAGGGGAGCGTGCTGAACTCCGCCTCCAGCAAGCAGGCCAAGGCCTCCACAGCAGCACAGACTTTCAGCTTGGCCCGACCCAGACACTTCTTTCCTTCCACCACCTCGGCTACCGAGTCTCCATCCAGCTCTCCGGTGTTCACCTTGAGCAGCGCTCCTCAAACAGATCAGAGGACAGTGCGCAAAGAAAGCCTCTTAACTGCTCACCCCCCAGTGCAACCAAAACCTCCCGGTGGGGCTTCCATCCAAAACCAGCCACTGGGCCCAGGCCCTGCAGAGCCAGCCCAGCCACCGCTCTCATTTTCCATCCCCAGCGGAAACCAGTTTCAACCCCAATGTGTGTCCCCAACACCTGTCTCTCCTACTGGCCGGATTCAGAACCCAGTGGCTTTCCTCAGTTCCGTGCTACCTTCTCTCCCTGCCATCCCACCCACCAATGCCATGGGACTGCCCAAAAGTGCGCCATCTGTGTAAGTGTCGTGGAGATCTCATGTAAGAGCTGCTGGCTATAAGGGGCATTGGCATAGAATAGCTTGCTTGGCCTGGGACAGAACTCCTGCTAAATGGATTCTTAGAAAAGTCCCATTTCTTAGGCACACAATGGATACAGAATACCTTAGAACAAAGGGCACATTGTCAACTTGAATATTTTTAAATAATTAAAAAGTAATAAAAGTAATAAAAAGACCTCTGCAAGTTGGGTACTAGTGGCTCACATCTGTAATCCTAGCTATTTGGGAGGCTAAGATCTGAGGATCATGGTTTGAAGCGAGCCTGGACAGGAAAGTCCATGAGACTCTTAGTTCCTATTAACCACCAAAAAGCCAAAAATGGAGCTGTGGCTCAAGTTGGTAGAAGGCTAGCCTTAAGCAAAAAAGCTAAGATAAAGAGCCCAGGCCCTAAATTCAAACCTTAGTAATCGCGTGTGCGCACGCACGCACACACACACACACACACACACACACACACACACGTGCAAATTCAGGGCTTATTCCTGCAAGTGGGTTTTGACTGGTGTTGAACCGTGAATTCAAGCATTCTAATTTTTCTAAGCTTTCATATTCTAATTAGTGTTTTTCCTGGGTGTGTGGGGTATGATTTATTTTACAGGCCATCCCAGGGACTAATGAAGAAAAATACTAAATCTCCTCAACCAGTGAGTGATGATTACATTCGTGAAACCAAGAATGCGGTGATTCTAGATTTAGGGAAGAAAATGAGTTTCAGTGATGTCAGATCAAACCAGCAGGTAAGATGTTGGACTTGGATGCTTTGATGCAATTTTATTGTAAGGAGTGTGTGTGTGTGTGTGTGTGTGTGTGTGTGTGTGTGTGTGTGTGTGTGTGTGTGTGTGTATGCCATTATTAAGGTTTGAATTCAGGGCCTGGGCTCTGTTTCTTAGCCTTTTCACTTAAGGCTAGCATTCTACCAACTTGAACCAGAGCTCCATTTTTGGTGGTTAATAGGAAGTAAGAGTCTCATAGACATTCCTGCCTAGGCTGGCTTCAAACCATGATCCTCAAGTCTCAGCCTCCTGAGTAGCTAGGATTACAGATGTGAGCCATTAGTGCCCAACTTACAGAGGTACTCAACTTGCATGTGCATGCACATTGTGCCTATGCACTGGAGCTTGAAGTCAGGGCCTTGAGCTTTCTGGGCTGGCACTCTACCACTTTAGTCTTGCCTACAGCCTGGCTTATTTTCTGGTTATTTTGGAGATGGGGTATAACAAACTTAAGTGGCTTGTCTGGCTTCAAAATATGATACTTATACAAAATATTTCAGTGTCCTGAATAGCTAGGATTACAAGTACAAGTCACCAACATCCAGTATAAGGAATATAATTTTGATTAATTCAGGCCTTGAGTACTTACCTCATCAGATGTCAGTGAGATTAATGCTACAACATGAATAGTGGGGCTCAGTCTGAGGCTCATGCAGAAAACTCATTCATGTGGATACAGAGTTGTTGATTACCCCAACGATTAATTCAGTTTGAGTGTGTTTACCTAGAACAAAGTATGCAGCTGTCTCTCCTTGTCTGCACGGGATCCTCTCAGTATGCGTTCTGAGATCCCTTATTGCATTCCTGCATAGTGGAGAGTCCTGAACCCTATATATTCTATCTTGTTCCTGTAATCCATAACCATGAAGAAGTTTAATTTTAAGATACTAAGGGTAGGGCTGGGAAGGTGGCTCAGTGGTAGAGTGCTTGCCTTGCATGCATGAGGCCCTGGGTTCGATTCCTCAGCACCACATAAGCAAAAAGAAAAAAGCCAGAAGTGGCACTGTGGCTCAAGTGGTAGAGTGCTAGCCTTGAGCTGAAGAGCTGAGGGACAGCGCCCAGGCCCAGAGTTCAGGCGCCAACACCAGACCCCCCAAAAAAAGATACTAAGGGTAGCCAGGTACACTAGGTAGATCACAGAGGCTGAGATCTGAGGATCCTGGTTCAAAGCCAGCATGAGCAGAAAACTCAGTGAGACTCTTAACTCCAATTATCCACTGAAAAGGGAGAAGTAGAAATGTGGCTCAAGTAGTACAGCACTAGCCTTGAACAAAAAAGTCAGTGAGGGCATGAGGCCTTGGGTTCTAGCTCTAATACCACACACACACACACACACACACACACACACACACACACACACACACACACACACACACACACAGATACCAGGTGTGGTAGCTCACACCTGTAATTTCAGCATGAAGGAGGCAGAGGCAGTTTAAAGCCAGCTTGGTCTCCATAGTGAGACTTTATCTCACAGAGGACACTCTTAGGAGAGTAACACAAAGGCATAATACTATCTGCCTCTGATCATACAAAATAATATTTATCGAAATGACCTCCAGGAAATGGAAACAAGAGGTTTTTCTTTGTTGCTGTTTTTTTCTTTTCTTTTTTTTTCTTTTTTGTCTTTGGAGGTGGAGGGCACAGAAATGGAGGGGAAAAGTGTGAATAAATGTAGCAGTGGTACTCACTAAACACTACTTTTGGGTGGGGAAGGGAGGGAAAAACTGGGTAAGAGTGTCCAAAAAGAAATGTATCCCTTAGGCTGGGAATGTGGCTTAATGGTGCTTGCCTAGGATGCATGAAGCCCTGGGTTTGATTCCTCAGTACCACATAAACAGAAAAGGCCAGAAGTGGTGCTGTGGCTCCAGTGGTAGAGTGCTAACCTTGAGCAAAAGAAGCTCCGGGACAGTGCCTAAGCCCTGAGTTCAAGCCCCAGAACTGGCCAGAAAAAAATAACAATAAACAAGAAATGTACCCTTTACCTGACATAGAACCATAACAATTCAAAATTTTTAATTAATTAACTAAAGTTTAGCCAGGTGCCAATGGCTTATGCTTTTAATCCTAGCTACTCAGGAATCTGCAATCTGAGGACTGCTGTTCAAAGCCAGACCAAGTAGGAAAGTCCATGAGACTTTTGTCAACAAAAATCTAGATGTGGAACTGTTGCTTAAGTGGTAGAATGCTAGCCTTAAGGGAAAAAGGTGAGGGCTAGAGCCCAGGCCCTGAGTTCAAGCTCCACTTCTGGCACAATAAATAAATAAATAGTTTAATTTTTAAAGTAGATACTGTAAGAAATTACAATAATGAACTCTAGTGCTATGTAGAGAATTTTAATATGAAGTTGCTGCAGATGAAGTCGCCTGGGCACACTGCTTTGGAAAGGTGACATTTGACAGATTTGGCAGGGTGGGGGTGGGAGGGAAGGAATCCAGGATAATCCTAGATTTAGGGTTTAGCTCAGTGCACTAGTGTTCCCAGGATCTGTGCTAGTCTGTAAGCTGTCACCTTGAGATAAGGATAGACATGGAGAGTAACCATTAAGGCATTTTCAAAGCAAGTTGACAGGAAAGTCCTATACCTATGAATTAAATAATTCAGCATTCCTTTTAACTTTTATTTTGCTAATCATTCCTTTTTATGGTGTTTTCCAAAAGTACAGATTAGAATTTTGTTGTTGTTGTTGGTCGTGGGGCTTGAACTCTGGGCCTGGGCGCTGTCCCTCAGATCTTTAGCTCAAGGGGAGCGTTCTACCACTTGAGCCACAGCAGTACTTCTAGTTTTTTGGTGGTTTTTTGGAGATAAGAGTCTCACAGACGTTCCTGCCTGGGCTGGCTTTGAATGCAATCCTCAGATCTCAGCCTCCTGAGTAGCTAGGATTACAGGCGTGAGCCACTGGTGCCCAGCTTCAGATTACAAAATTTTAAGAACATGGGTTTCACCATAGACACTAAGAGGAATTCTGGTTTCCCCTCAACCAATTAAATAAATGATGCTACTGCTTCCTAGGATGAGGACCTCTCGGGACAGATGTCAAGTGTGCGTTCTTAGGGCCATGCTAAGTTTTCAGAGTCCATCAAGTACTATCATGTAAAGGAGATCATTGGGTATGACTCTAGCATTTGGGGACAGACAAGCTTGGAAAGATGAATTGGGAGGTTCTCAGCACAAGAAAGATGTCTGAAGCTGTGAGATTTGATGGAATTCCCAAGAACAGAGCAGTACAAGACAGTAGAGGAGACTGATGTTACTAGAAAAAGAGAGGAAAGCTGACAGAGTAGCTCAGGTGGTAGAGCACCTGCCTAGCAAGTTCAAGGTCCTGAGTTCAACCCCCACCCCCATCCCCAGTATAAGAGGGAAAGAAAGAACTGGTACAATGAGATTTTATTTTACTTCTTGTGTCCGTACTGGGGCTTGAACTTGGGGCCTAGGTCTTTTCCCTCAGCTTTTTCTCTCTAGGCTAGGTCTCTACCACTTGAGCCACAGTTCTACTTTAGCTTTCTTGGTGGTTAATTGGAGGTAAGAATCTCACAAACTTTTCTTCCTAGGCTGGCTTCAAACTTGGATTCTCAAATCTCAGCCTCCTGAGTAGCTAGGATTATAGGTCTGGCTGGGAGAGACAATGAAAGAGGTTTTCCTCAAGTGTACATATTGAAGTGGCCAGTAGAGACGTGAAGTTGGAGATATAGTCATGCATTTGAGTGCAGTGCAAAACAGCTGTACCACAGTAACCCTCTAGGCAGGCAGTTCTGCATATGTAAATGAACACTATAGTAATTACAGAAATAATATGTCATCTTTATTCCCTTCCCTACAGAATTCTATTAGGACTCCATGCTCAGGGTGAGGAAGCAGAGAGTCACTAGGACAGTTTGGGATTAGAGTAGAAACGCTCAGACTTTTTCTAGTGTTTCAGGGCAAGCAAGTAGAAATGGAATGTGCCTGGTTTATTTGAGATGTCATGGTATAAATCTAACATAAGAATCTTTAAAATAAATTGCCCCCTCAATTCCATTAATGGCCATGTTTTTCCTCACCATAGAAATAAAATTTTAAAACATATTTGTCATGTTGGTAGGAGTACAAAATTTCAAGCTTTGAACAGAGGCTGATGAATGAAATTGAGTTTCGCCTGGAACGTACACCTGTTGATGAGTCAGATGATGAAATCCAGCACGATGAGATCCCCACGGGCAAGTGTATTGCTCCCATCTTTGATAAAAGACTCAAGCACTTCCGGGTTACAGAAAGCTCTCCAGTTACCTTCACCTGCAAAATTGTTGGGATTCCAGTTCCAAAGGTAAGGGATGATGGCCAGGCAAACAACAGCACAGAACTTCAAGGAAGTCTCATCTGGGTTGCAGATGTAACTCAATCTCAGTGGTAGAGCATTTGCTTTGCCTGTACTAAGGCTTACCATTCATGGGAAACAAAAACAACAACAACAAAAAACTTCTATCATGCTCTAGTGAAGTAGAGAGAAGGCAAACCAATACCAGAAAACTAGAGAGAGAGAACAACAGCACTGAGATAATTCGACTAAAAAAGAGAACAAGCCACAATGGAATTCTATGCCTCCATCAGAAAGAATGACATTTCCCCATTTGTTAGGAAATGGAAAGGCTTGGAAAAAATTATATTAAGTGAAGTAAGCCAGGCCCAAAGAAACATAGGTCCCATGGTTTCCCTTATTTGCAATATCTAGTATAGGTATGAGTCAAGCGGAAAAAGTCAGATAATGTGATGTTAGGAAAACGAAACCTCAAATATGTATTTTAATGTTTTTGTTTCTTTCATGCATGTGTTTCTAACGCATTTATAAGATTATTTCTTTGTTGCTTTGTATGTCCCTCCCCCACAGTGTAACCCCCTCTTTCACTATATTTGATGTCAGTATAACATGTGGAGGAGATGGGGACAAACAAGTCGTTTAAGGATTCAGGTGGACCTGTTGCAACAATGAGAAGTACAAAATGTCATGTCAAAACCAGCTTTACAATGTCGGTGGGGAGGGGGTGGGGGGGTATGATTGGGTGGGGGGGAGGGGGGAGGCTGGGAAGGGAGGTGAAGGGTAAACAAAGGAGGAGGCTGCAATGCTTGGTAAGAAATGTATGCATTATCCTGCCCATGTAATTGTAACCCCTCTGTACAGTATGTTCTCAAATAAAATAAAATAAAATTTAAAAAAAAAAAAAAAAGAGAACAAGTGTCAATAATAGGCAAGAATAGAGTCATTAAAGTAGTCAAGGTAAAAATAAATAAATAAAAATCAGACTTAGGTTAGAAATTTGATGTTTTGAGTTCTAGGGTGTTTAGCCCAGGGCCTTGCGCATGCTAAGCAGTCAACCCTTCCATTTGAATTTTAATAAAAGTTTATAATAGATTTCATAGTCACGATACTTTATTTGGGGCTATTGATTGTCTTAGCCATCAAGCTCAGCAAATGGATACTTTTCATCTCATTTAGTCTCTACTAACAATCCCCAGGGTGCCCGTTATTGCCCAGAGTGAGCTATATTTGTAGCATGACTCTTAGATTGGTAAATGCTGAAAATGTCACATCATTATCGCTGGCTGCTGAAAAATCTTATGAGTCACCAGATTTTCTAGCAGTCAGCTGAGAGATTTGCAGCTGGCGTGCTGTGCAAGAGGATCTCTCCAGCTTCCTTTTGCAAACACATGAACAAGGTGTTATCCTATATGGTTACCCAACCGGGAAAGTAGAGGAGGGAGGCTATAACCAATACTTTATCCTCTGCTTTAAGTGATTTCCTTGATACATGCAAAACTCACCATAAAAACATAGGTAGGTAGATTCTGGCTAGATGGTAGATACGTTTAGCAAATGAATCCCACCTAGCCCTGTTCTAACATTCTCTCTGTAGCGAAGCAAGCTACCCGAGGAAATAAGAATTAGGCTTCAGCATATAACTAGTATGATGGGAAATGATCCAGCCTCCTGGTTTTCATTAAATTGTCTCTGAAAACACATCTGGTCCTTAGGTAGCATTTAAACTAATAGTGAAACACACACACAAAATGCTACCAAGTGCTAGTGGCTTATGCCTGTAATCTTATCTACTTGGGAGGCTGAGATCTGAGTATCACAGTTTGAAGACCAGCCCAGGCAGGAAAGTCCATGAGACTCTTATCTCCAATTAACCACTCAGAAAACCGGAAGTGGTGCTGTGGCTCAAAGTGGTAGAGGGCTAGCCCTCAGTGCAAAAGCTCAGGGATAGTGCCCACGCCCAGAGTTCAAGCCTCATGACCAACTTTAAAAAAAAAAAATGCTATAATTAAAAGTTTTATCTTGATCCTAAATTATATTGAATTTTTTTGTGCATCAGTTCTGGACCTTGAACTCAACGCCTTGGTACTGTCTTTGAGCTATCTTGTTCAAGGCTAGCACTGTACCACTTGATCCAAAGATCCACTTCCAGCTTTTTTGGGTAGTTAATTGGAGATCCGAGTCTCACAGACTTTCTTACCTGGACTGGCTTTGAACCAGGATCCTCAGATCTCAGCCTCCTGGCTAGCTAGGGTTACAGGTATGAGCCACTGGTGCCTAGCTATATTGAATTTTTATTTTTGTGCTGGAACTTGAACAGGAAGCGTAGGCATTGTCCCTTAGCTTTTGTACTCAAGGCTGGTATGTCACCACTTGAGCTACCACTCCATTTCTGGCTTGCTGGTGGTTAATGGGCGATACAGAGTCTCATGGACTGTACTGCCTAGCCTGGCTTTGAACTGTGATCCTCAGATCTCAGCCTCCTGTATTGCTAAGATTCTGTGTGAGCCACTGGCACCAGGCTGAATTTTTTTACTTAAAAGTGTTACCTAATAATAGATAGAGGAACACATTATACCTTCATTTTGAGTATATATTTTATGACTTTGTTCCAAGTGCTTTGAAAAGGATGAGTGTTTTACGGAAATGCTAATTAGCCCCTACCTCAACCTATCCCCTACTTCTTTATGCTCCAAGGATGTATGGAAAAAGACTTCTCTATTATCCATTCCTGGATTCTCTTTCTTTTCAGGTTTACTGGTTCAAAGATGGGAAGCAGATTTCTAAGAGAAATGAACACTGCAAAATGCAGCGAGAAGGAGATGGGACGTGTTCTCTGCACATCGAATCCACCACCAGCGATGATGACGGCAACTACACCATCATGGCAGCCAACCCCCAGGTGGAGACACAGGGTCCCCTGCCCTGGAGCAGTCTGAGGAAGAAGCAGTTGATAGAATTATCAATGAGACTTTGAGGGTTGACAATGAGAAAATGAATGAATATTGTGACTGTGTATAACTCCCACACAGATCACAGTTTAAGACTAGTTTGCCACTAGAGGCCACTCAGCCCTTCAGCCTTTGCAAAGGCTGTGTGTGTTTCTCCTGGACCTGTTGGGCTAATAAGTCTTGTGTTTATCAATTCCTTGACTTTCCTGAAGAGCGATTGTTCTACCAAAGAGTGATTTGTTGGTTTTGTTCCTTAAATATTAGCTAAATTACTAATGGTCCTGGAACGCATCATATCCTTTCTTCTTCCTTTTCTTTTTTACTTTTCTTTTTCAGAGCTGAGGACTGAACTCAGGGCCTTGCATTTGCCAGGCAAGCACTCTTCTACTGAGCTAAATCCTCAACTCTTGGTTGTGATTTCTTGATAAATACTGGGAAGCTATCATCTTCGTTTTGAATAAGGCCAAGTCTTAAGATTCCCATAAAAGATAAGGCAGAGTACATATCTTCAACTACCATTTAAATAGAAAGTATAGAACTAGCTGAGCATGGTGGTGTATGCCTATAGCCTCAGCATGCAGGAGGCTGAGGAAGGAGAAAATTGAGTTCCACACTGGGCTATATAGCAAGACCCTGTCTTAAAGAAGTGAAAGAAGTGTAGAACTGTAATTTCTACTGTCATCCACCCTTCTTGTTGAAGTGTCAGTTTGATGAAAGGGAGGTATGAAAGTATTTGGTCCTGCTGTCTGAAGACAATGTTACATTCTCAAGAATTTATAATAATTGCCAGGTGCTCGGGCCTATAATCCTAGCTACTCAGGAGACTGAGAATTGAGGATCACAGTTTGAAGCCAGCCTATACTGATTATGAAAGTCTGAAACTTGGGCTAGGAAGGTGGCTCAGTGGTAGAGCGCTTGCCTTGCATGCATGAGGCCCTGGGTTCGATTCCTCAGCACCACATAAGCAAAAAGAAAAAAAAAAGCCGAAGTGGCACTGTGGCTCAAGTGGTAGAGTGCTAGCCTTGAGCTGAAGAGCTGAGGGACAGCGCCCAGGCCCAGAGTTCAGACCCCACGATCCCCCTCCCCAAAAAGAAAGTCTTAAACTCTTATTGCCACTAACCTACCAAAAAAAAAAAAAAAGCCAGAAGTAGAGTTGTGGCTCCAGTGGTAAAACATTAGTCTTGAACAACAAAGTTTGGGGACAGTGCCCAGGCCCTGAATTCAAGCCCCAGCACTGGCACCAAAAATTGTTTTTATAATAATTATTTTTACATATGCTCTCTGTTATTTTCTTGGTTTAAAAAATGAAAGTCATCACAATTCTTTCTTTTAAAAAATCCTGTTCCTTGGAATAGTAGCGAGGATTTAAGAAGTTACATGATTTCCATTCCCCAAAGAAAAACTTGTAACAGAAAAAACAAAAACAAAAACAAAATGTTATTATGCTAAGACATGGAAAAAATATCAATTTTAAAAAATGTGAATTTCTTCTCAGAATCTTGTGTGTTTTCTGTTTCTCAGGGAAGAATTAGCTGCTCTGGCCACCTGATGGTGCAGAGTTTGCCCATTCGCAGCCGACTAACACCTGCTGGTCAGCCTCACAGGTAAAAAACAGAGGGCTTACCCTTCCCTGCGCCCTTCTATGTGCCATTTTAGTAAAAATGAATGAAGTTCTTGAGTCTGCAAATTATTCCTTCACAGTATAGCAGCCCCCACATTGGTGCCGGCATCCAGCGAGAGCTTGTCAGAAAGGCAAATTCCCAACCTATGCTTAAGCTCCTCAACCACAATGTATGTTTTCACAAAATCCCCCCAGGAGCTTCACCAGTACATTCAAGTAGGAGAAGTACTGGTCTTTGGCACAATCTCAGTGGTTCCCAGTTGTAACCATCAGTAGCACTGGTACCTATAATATAGAAATCAGTTACCTTTGAATTAAATTACCAATTTTTCTATAACAAAACAGAAACCTGTCATGATTACACGTCTTTGGACTGAATATTTTCGTTGTCACCACTTTAGCAACTGCTTTGCTTCCTCTCTGATTTCTCTATCCACTGAGAAGAAAAGAGCCTGACTTTCCCCTTAAGTCTGGTGGTGCCACAGAGTCTTAGCAAAGTATTCCATAGTGGCTGACAAGGAGGAATTAAATGTGACCTACCAAAGGAACAAAAAGAGTGATCCATGTTTCAGATACTGTGTTTAACTACGATTGCAACAATACCTCCTCCCCTTTCTCCTCCTCCTCTTTCTCCATCTCCTCATCCCCTTCCTCTTTGTTTGTTTGTTTTTTTAAGCAGCTGTTGCTGTTAGTTTTATCCAGCTTAAGCTCATGGTGATCTCTAATAGTCTGCCATAATTTATTACCCAAAGACACAGAGATTGCAGCTATCTTGTTCTGAAGAATAAACAGGGCTTCTCTTTGGGCTGTCAATGGAGGCTCAGTTGAATGCTGATTTATTTGTTTGTTTACATGACTTTTGAACAACTGGTCAAGCCCACAGAGCAAGGATGTCTGAGCCACTTAAACCAAATGACTTCAGAGAGCAAGAAGCTAAGGCCTATTTGATTACAGATCTCACAAGATAATCCCACAGTATATGAGATACTTACCATTTGTTATTTTACATTAGCCCCATGCCAGTTATTATTATTAAAGTTTTTGTTCTCACAAGGACTTTCTCCCTCCAAAAATAACTGGAAGTTGTTCTCCCTACAGCCATGCTAATTACCTATAATTCTAAGTTTGAAAATTGGTTTTTCTATTTGATGCTTAAACATATTTACTACAGGGGAAGATCTCGCATACAAGAAAGAGACAAAGAACCCCTACAAGAACGTTTCTTCCGACCACATTTCCTGCAGGCTCCGGGGGACATGGTAGCTCATGAGGGGTGCCTGTGTCGGCTGGACTGTAAGGTAGACTCACAGCACTGGGCCTTACAGCCAGAGTTGTTAAGTTTGAGTTCGTTTGGTTGTTGGCATTTATTTTTGTTTGAATCTATCTTATGGGTGGTGGTGGTTGTTGTTGTTGTTATTGTTGTGTTTTTCCCCTTAGAGGACAAGGTCCTAGAGGAGGAAGAGAAATCCTTTTTCCTCCCAATAGACTCTGGAATATTTAATACTGGATGAAATTATTTCATAAATTTTTTAAACCATTCTATCTTACAAAAATTTACATTGGGCTGGGCAATGGTGGCTCACACCTATAATCCTAGCTACTCAGGAGGCTGAGATCTGAGGATCATGGTTCAAAGCCAGCCCAAAGCCAGGCAGGAAAGTCCATGAGACTCTTATCTCCAGTTAACCACCAGAAGTGGCAATGTGGCTCAAGTGGTAGAGAGTTCATCTTGAGCTGAAGAGCTCAGAGACAGTGCCTAAGCCCAGAGTTCAAGCCACAGGACCAAAAATAAATAAATAAGTAAATAATACCATTAGTATTGCATCAAGTTAGCCCTGCATTTTTAGAAGTCAAACTAAAGAAGTGATATGATTCAGATATTTGCCATAGGGTACCTGGAAAACCTTTAAAACTACAAGGTCACAAGTGTGACCTTTAAGTGATTATTGTGAGCTGTAGTCTTTTTGGGGACAAAAAGGCCTGAAAAGATGGCTCTGAGGTAGCTGTTGTGACCAAAATATGTTCCTTGTGTAACCTACATCCATCCCTTTAGCAATTCTGCATTTTAATTTCCCAGCAATAGTTAGGCCTCAATTTGAGCGGTATGTTTATGTACTATAGTGTCTTCTCCATATGATCAGAAACTGAATTGAGCTGTCCCTCCCAAAGATGCTGAACAGTATAGAAAACTTAGATGTGAATGAGTAAGGCTTGAGGGTAAGCATTAATAGAGTCCACTTCTGTAGGTAGCTCTTATTCTCTTATTGGCTGCCTAAATAGTCAGGTTGACTGCATCTCCTCCTCTATAGACTTACGCCACCAATGCGAGGTTCCATTCTCAGAGATTCTGACTTCATTTTATAATCCCCAGGGGATTATAACTCTTGCTTGCCATATATCACCTCTTATATTGATGCTACAGGCCTATTTTAGCTATTTAGTTGCCTTCTTTTTAACTTTAGAATACAACCACATGGTTTCATCATGATCTGAAGGGGTCAAAACACCAAAGAGTTTAAATTCAAGCAGCCAATTCATTCAACCCCTCTCCCTTCCCACAGAGGGAAGGGTTCCCACAGACAGCTTCTCACTACGCTAGGTCTTCTCACACTATATATTTGGTGCCAAATAGGGATGAAGAATTCAGCCACCAAATAAATCTGCTTGTCATCACTCTGTTGTTTGCTTCAGCTGTCCTGTTGTTTATTAGGTGAGTGGCCTACCGCCCCCGGAGCTCACGTGGCTGCTCAATGGTCAACCTGTGCTACCAGATGCCTCCCATAAGATGCTGGTCAGGGAGACAGGAGTCCATTCTCTGCTCATTGACCCACTCACCCAACGTGATGCAGGGACCTATACCTGCCTGGCTACCAACAAAACTGGGCAGAATTCCTTTAGTCTGGAGCTCTCTGTCGTAGGTAAGTTTTACTGCTGGAACTCCTCACCCCCACTCCAAGTATAATTACGTTAAAAGTTTTTGCACAAATAGAGTACACACAATGCCTCAGTCCTTTGTCAGAATAGGCAAGATTCCTATAAGGACATGTTGATTGAGAGCTTTTTTTTTTGTCTGTTGTGGGGCTTGAACTCTGGGCCTGGGCGCTGTCCCTCAGCTCTTCAGCTCAAGGCTAGTGCTCTACCACTTGAGCCACTTCCAGTTTTCTGGTGGTTAATTGGAGATAAGAATCTCACAGACGTTCTTGCCCAGTCTGGCTTTGGACTACAATCCTCAGATCTCAGCCTCCTGAGTAGCTAGGATTACAGGCGTGAGCCACTGGCACCCTGCTAGGCTTTTGCCTTGTTTTAGGCAATGTTGCAAAAACATTGAGTTTGACTGTGAAGCCACTATGGAGGAGCATTTGGCCAAAAGAAAAGCTTCCTGAGGAAGCTTGATTTTGTGGGAATTTTTTAAGTAGTATGATTCTGTCGATTTGAAGTTTATTTCCAAAATAAAAAAAATTGTTTGGGGACATAAATGTTATCTTAAGTGAAATAAACCTTCCCAGAAACAAAAAGGAAAGATTAATTTTAGGACAGTGAGTATATTGTCTCTCATAAGTCAGACCAGCAATTTAAAAAAGAAAACTCCTTTAATTTTGCCATTCCTAGCAGTTGCATCCCATGTGTGTACCCCCACAGCCCTACAGCTGTCTCATTTGGAATGTGCGTAAGTAGCTGACCCATTTCTTTTTTTAACCTTTTATGGAACTTTCTCAAGGCACTGATCCTCATTAGAGGCAGAAAGCAGTGAAGTAGATGCCAGCCTACTCCATTAATTCCAGAACACAGCTAGGTTGAGGCATGAACCCAAGGCACCTGCTTTCCTTTTTCGTTCTTCTTCATCCTTCCTTCCTTCCTTCCTTCCTTCCTTCCTTCCTTCCTTCCTTCCTTCCTTCCTTCCTTCCTTCCTTCCTTCTTTCCTTCCTTCCTTCCTTCCTTTTCTTTCTTTCTTTCTTTCCTTCTTTCTTTCTCTTTCTCTCTCCCTTCCTCCCTCCCTTCCTTATTTTCTCCCTCTCTCCCTTCCTTCCTTCCTTCCTTTCTGTTTGTGTGTGTGTGTGTGTGTACTGGGCTTTATACTCAGGACCTCATGCGCTCACATTTGGCTTTTTCTGCTCAAGACTAGTATTCTATCAGTGTGTGGCATTCTTGAGCCATACTTCCAGTTTTTGCTTTTGCTAGAGACAAGAGTCTCACAGAATTTTCTACCTGGGCTGACTTTGAACCAAGATCTTCAGCTATCAGCCTCCCAAGTAGCTAGAGTTTCAAGAATGAGCCACCGAGTCAGCCAGTTGCTTTTCAAATAAAGTCTTTTCTCTCATTCAGCCAAAGAAGTGAAGAAAGCCCCTGTGATCCTGGAGAAACTGCAGAATAGTGGCGTTCCTGAGGGCCACCCGGTGAGGCTGGAGTGCCGGGTGATCGGCATGCCCCCACCCGTATTCTACTGGAAGAAAGACAACGAGACCATCCCTTTCACCAGAGAGAGGGTCAGGTACAGCAGCTGCCATCCCCCACAAGGACAGCCGTGGTTGGTGAAGCTTGTTCAGGAGCCCAAATAAGTCCTACCCTTTTGATGCTGACCCTTTCATTGAGCATAACGCCTCTTAAGTTTCATTCATGTTATTGTGCCTATCAAGAATTTATTCCTCAAGGTGTGGTGTGGAGCATGCCTGTATTCTCAACACTCAGGAATCAGAGACAGGAGGGATCATGAGTGCAAGGCTTCTAGTTCCAGTTTTAGCTGGATTAATTGGAAGTAAGAGACTCCCAGACTTGTTTGCCTGAGCTGTCTTCAGATCTCAGCCTCCTGAGTAGCTAAGATTATTTACAGCAACAAGAAGAAGAAGGAAAAAAAAAAAAACCCATTAGTGATAGATGGAACAAGAGTGAAGCTATCAGCCAGGCGCTGATGGCTCACACCTGTAATCCTAGCTACTCAGGAGGCTGAGATCTGAGGATCGCAGTTCAAAGCCATCCCGGGCAGGAAAGTCCATGAGACTCTTATTTCCAATAAACCACCAGAAAACCGGAAGTGATACTGTCGCTCAAGTGGTAGAGCGCTCGCCTTGAGCTGAAGAGCTGAGGGACAGCGCCCAGGCCCAGAGTTCAAGCTCCACAACCGACAAAAAAAAGAGCGAAGCTATCTTATTGATATGGTGTGTCTGTGTCTGTATCTGTGTCTGTGTCTGTGTGTCTGTGTCTGTGTCTGTGTCTGTGTGTCTGTACATGCATGAACTCAGGGTCTTGCATGCTCAATCAGCTTTTTCGCTTGCAGCTGGCACTCTACCACTTGAACCACTCCTCCAGTTTCAGCTAGGATTATAGACATGTACAACTGGCACCAGCTTTAAGCTTTCTTTAAAAACAACCATTAGTGCCGGGCGCTGGTGGCTCACGCCTGTAATCCTAGCTACTCAGGAGGCTGAGATCTGAGGATCGCGGTTCAAAGCCAGCCCGGGCAGGAGAGACCGTGAGACTCCTATCTCCAATAAACCACCAGAAAACCGGAAGTGGCGCTGTAGCTCAAGTGGTAGAGCGCTCGCCTTGAGCTGAAGAGCTGAGGGACAGCGCCCAGGCCCAGAGTTCAAGCCCCACGACCGACAAAAAAACAAAAACAAAAACAACCATTAGTAGCCGGGTGGGGGGTGGCTCACACCTGTAATCTTAGTTACTCAGGAAGCTGAGATCTGAGGATCACGGTTTGAAGCCAGCCCAGGCAGAAAAGTCCATGAGGCCCTTATCTCCAATAAACTGCTGAGGAAAAAGCTGGAAGTGGTGCAAGTGGGAGAAGGCACAAAGAGGCTCAGGGACAGCACTCAAGCCCAGAGTTCAAGCCTCAGGACCAGACAAAAAAAAGAAGAAAGAAAGGGGGGGGGGGGGGGAGAGGGAGAAGGAGAGAGAAAGAAAGAAAGAAGGAAAGAAAGAGAGAAAGAAGGAAGGAAAGGAAGAAAGAGAAAGAAAGAAAGAAAGAAAGAAAGAAAGAAAGAAAGAAAGAAAGAAAAAGAAAGAAAGAAAGAAAGCTAGCTTAAGGATCTTGTGTTACTATCAAAATCAAATCTTGTTTGATTTTCCCTAACTAACCTTATTTCTTTGTCATTTTTTCACAAGGGGGAAAGCAAACAAAGATAGCTCTGCACCAATATTGTTGCTGAAAATTATTTCTTCCCAGTGAACTGAATTTGTCCTAGAGGATGTTACAATCATGTTCTGTAGAATTTTAGCATCTACTATATATATATATATATATATATATATATATATATATATATATATATATATATATATATATATCGACATATTATATACATACATATTCACATATATGTATATATAATACACATTTTATAAATCTTATTTTTAACATAGATAATAATATACTTATATATGTCAGGAGTTTTTGAAAAAACAGAAGTAGAGAATTTTCTTGAATAATTTCCTTCAGTATAAATTAATGTAACACATGAAACTAGATAGAAGGTATCATAAAAATTTAAATATAGTTTCATGGAGGAAAAACAGAAGTCCAACTTGTAAAAAGCATGGTCTTCCTCAGGGCTCACTGCTGGGGCTTGGTGCTGCTGGCTTGGGGTGAGAGCCTAAGAGGTGAGCCAGGGGCTGACTGGCAGCCCGTGAAAGGATGCCCACCTTCTCACCACTGTCACAGTGACCCTTTAAGAATGCAAACTGATGCGGCTCAGAAGGTGGCTCAGTGGTAAAATGCTTACCTTACATGCATGAAGGCCTAGGATCAATTCCTCAGCACCACATAAACAGAAAAAGCCCCAAGTGTTGCTGTGGCTCAAGTGGTAGAGCGCTAGCCGTGAGCTGAAGAGCTGAGAGACAGTGACCAGGCCCAGAGTTCAGGCTCCAGGACTCCCCCCGACCAAAAGAAAAAAAAAAAAGAATGCAAACTGAAATCCAGAGTCCTGGTGGCTCAGGCCTGTAATCTTGTCTACTTAGGAAGCTGGGATCTGAGGATAGAAGTTCAAAATCAGCTCTGGCAGGAAAGTCCTTATCTCTTATCTTCAATTAACCACCAGAAAGCCAGAAGTAGAGCTGTAACTCAAAGTGGTAGAATACTAGCCTTGAGCTGAAGAGCTGAGGGACAGTGCCCAAGCCCAGAGTTTAGGCCCCACAACTGACAAAAAAAAAAGAGTTTGCATAATAATAATAATAATTATTATTATTATTTTGGTGCTGGTCCTGGGGCATGAACTTGGGGCCTGGGTGCTGTCTCTGAGCTTCTTTGGCTCAGCGCCACAGTGGCCAGAGCGCCACTGTGGTGCTGAGGAATCAAACCCAGGGCCTCATGCATGCAAAGCAAGCACTCTACCTCTGAGCCACCTTCCCAGCCAATAATGCAAACTCTTAATATTACCTCCTGCTTACAATATATATCAGTAGATTCCCATCACCTGAAAGGAAGAGTACCTGCCCTCTATCACGTTCATAGGGGCTTCCTTCTGCCTTCTTTCCAGTCCTTCATAAGCTTCACCCCCAGCCACAATGAATTGCCCTCTCCCTCCCCCTCCGCCTCTTCTCTCCCCTCTTTCTGCCTCCAGCTCCCACTCTTACCCCCAGGCCCATTCCCCCTCCACTTCTACCACCTTGAATAGCTTATCCTCAGCCTCAACCTTTTGTGTTTGTTTTATTGATTTGGGGTTTGGGTTTTTTGGTTGGTGTTGGTTTTGTTGTTGTTGTTTGTTTGTTTGTTTTAGAGTCTCACTATGATTTCCAGGCTTGCCGCAAGTTTATAATCCTTGTGCCCTATCCACCTCCCTACTGCTCAGATTACAGGCATGTACCACCACATTGGCTTCTTCCCTCCTTCCTTCCTTCCTTCCTTTTACCCTCCCTCCCTTCTTCCCTTCTGTGTTTCTTCCCCATTGTCTTTCCCTATCCCAGCTCTGTGTTTCCCTCTCCCTCTTTTCTTTGTGTTGGGGATCTAACCCAGGTCTTTGCACATGCGTGGCAAGTACTCATCTCGGATCTACATCCCTGCTCTGGTGACATCTTTTTACCTTCACATTTGCCTTGTGTTTGCCTTCCACTGAGTTCCCCTTTCTTACCTTTAGTAAGAAAAAGCTTAAGCCCCAGAGATGCTTCTGTTCCTAGGTAAGAGATAGCCTATTCTTCCTTTCTCCAGTATGCACCAGGACACAACAGGGTATGTCTGCCTCCTCATTCAGCCAGCCAAGAAATCTGACGCTGGATGGTATACATTGTCAGCCAAGAATGACGCTGGCATCGTGTCCTGCACTGCCAGGCTGGATATATATGGTAAGTGTAATTTCCTTAGTAGAACATCTGTGTGTGATAAACAGCTTTAAAATTATTTCTAGCAGGTAAATGCAGCATGTTTGTAATAAACAAATGAGATGGATCACACTATATTTTAGTACTAAAGAGCCAGATCTGGAGCCGGGGAAGGCTCAGATTGGGAGATTGTGGTTCAAAGCCAACTGGGACAAAAAAGTTCACCAGAACCCTTTTCAACCAAGAGTGTATCCCAATGGGGCACACTTGTTATGATGAGAAATCTCACACAGGTGGATCATCTGAGTAGAAGCTGAACACCATCTCAAAAATAACCAGCAGCTAAGCCCTAGTGGCTCACACCTGTAATCCTAGCTCCTAAGGACTATGAGATCTGAGGATCGCAGTTCAAACCCAGCCCGGGGAAGGAAAGTCCATGAGACTCTTATCTCCAATTAGCCACCAGAAAACCGGAAGTGGAGTTGTAGCTCAACATGGTAGAGTACTAGCTTTGAGTGAAAAAGCTCTGGGGTAGCCTTCAGGCCCTGAGTTCAAGCCCCACGACTAATAAAAACAAACCCAGCAACCTGAACTAACCTGTCAGAGAGAGCATTTGTGGACAGCCCTGGGGAAAAGAAGTTTGCAAGGCTCCATCCTATCCAATGGCTAGGTACAGTAGTGTTCATCTACTGTCCCAGCTGTGGGGGAAACAGGATGGCTGGGCACAGTGGCCGGCTACTGGTTGTCCACTGGAACTCTCCCCTGCTGGAATTTCTCAAATATTTTTTCCAGAACCTATTCATATGTTTATTCATTCAATTAACATGCATTGCTCCAATCCCCCAATCAGACTTCCTTATTAACAGAGCTGCAATATGACGATAATAATAGTATCAGGTAACATTTGAATGTTGTATGTGATTACTTCTTGGATCCTCTCTGGTCCATAAGATCACAGTAATTATCATTAGCTTCATTTAAATAATGAAGTGGGGCTGAGAATTTGGCTTCGTGGTAGAGTGCTTGCCTAGCATGCACGAAGCCCTGGGTTCAATTCCTCAGTACCACATAAGTAGAAAAAGCTGGTAGTGGTACTACTGTGGCTCAAGTGGTAGAGTGCTAGCCAATCAGGGACAGTGTCCAGGCCCCAGGACTGGCAAAAATAAAATAGATAAATAAATAAGAAATCAAGACTCCTTCAGAGAGGTTAGAGTCTACAGCTAGGAAACAGGTCTTTGTAACACTCCTTTGAGCCATATTTCTAAACCTCAAAAGGTTTTTGTGCCTCAGCCTGTTGAGTAGATTACAGGTATGTGCCACAGTGCCCAGCTGAGAGATTCCTTAGTGTTACAGGTTCTCAAATTTGATTTTCTCAATGCATTCGGAGGAACTTAGACTCTGAAATCCTGATTAAAGATAATGAAATTAAGAAAGGGTCAGTCTAGAAATCAGAATGCTAAATTAGGGGCACAACTTTCTAGCACCACACAACACAGCCCCCTACCCCTTCTCTACATCAAGATCTCCAGAAACTGAATCTGGAGATGGCTTGGGAATTTCTTTCTTTTTTTGGCGGGGGGGGGTCCAGTCGTGGGGCCTGAACTCTGGGCCTGGGCGCTGTCCCTCAGCTCTTCAGCTCAAGGCTAGCGCTCTACCACCTGAGCCACAGCGCCACTTCTGGCTTTTTTCTTTTTTGGTTATGTGGTGCTGAGGAATCGAACCCAGGGCCTCAGGTATGCAAGGCCAGTGCTCTACCATTGAGCCACCTTCCTAGCCCCGGCTTGGGAATTTCTGAATGAACAGATGGGAGTGCAGTGTTGGGTGGGTGTCTCAATCAGGTCATGTTGGAGCCTCAAGATGGCGTCTGCTAAATGGTTCTTCCTGTCAACAGGGCTTGGTGAATATGGAAACTGTGAAGTTCCCCTTTAGCCCTTAACCACAGCTGATTGCTGAGGGTCTAGCTGCCTACTCAGACCATTTTCTTGTTCTAACTCATTTCAACCTGATTTTTGTGGGAGGAAGGTAGATAAATAGCTAGCTGCTTAGGAAAGTTAGAAGGAGTGGCAGTCACTCCCCAGAGGGTTGAACCCATGTTGTTCCCATGTAGCCTTCTATCCCCACCTTCGGTCCTGGGACTTGAACTCTGGGCCTGGGCGCTGTCCCTGAGCTCTTCAGCTCAAGACCTGTGCTCTACCACTTGAGCCACAGTGCCACTTCTGGTTTTGTGATGGTTAAGTGGAGATAAGAGTCTTATGGACTTCCTTGTCTGGGCTGGCTTTGAACCATGATCCTCAGATCTCAGCCTCCTGAGCAACTAGGATTTCGGGCACGCGTCACAGGCACCCAGCTTGCCCTCATCTTCTAAGAGGTAACAGCTCTCTGTAATAGACACTCACAAATCCCATGCCATGCAAGAGAAGAGAAATCACCCCAGTCACCCACTTGTCCTTCTTATAGGAATTGTATTCTCAATGAGTTAGGATCACAGAGTATAGAACTGGGGCTCTGTGTGTGTGTGTGTGTGTGTGTGTGTGTGTGTGTGTGTGTGTGTTTCTTGTTGTTGTTTTGGTCAGTCATGAAGCTTAAACTCTGGGCCTGGATGCTGTCTCTGAGCTCTCCAGATCAAGGCTAGTGCTCTCCCCCTTGAGCCACAGCACCATTCCCAGTTTTCTGGTGGTTAATTGGCTATAAGAGTCTCACAGATGTTCCTGGCCGAGCTGGCTTTGAAGCGTGATCCTCAGATCTCAGCCTCCTGATTAGCTAGGATTACAGGTGTGAGCCACGTCACCCAGCTTGGTGTGTGTGTGTGTGTGTGTGTGTGTGTGTGTGTGTGTGTGTGTTCTGAGACTGAGACTCACTCAGTATCTGGTTGTCTCTCTACCATGTGAGCCCTACCTCCAACCCCTGGAACTGGGGCTTAAGAGATCACCAGTCCAGTTTCCCTATTCTTGGGTAGGGAAGATGTTATCCCTCTCTTTCACACATGAGGTATTTCCAATGCTTTACCAAGCTGGGAACCAGTAGCACATGCTTGTAATCCTACTTGCTCAGGAGGCTGAGATTTGAGGATCCCAGTTTGAAGCCAGCTCAGGCAGAAATAGCCATGAGACTCTTATCTCCAATGAACCAGCAGAAAGCCAGAGGGAGCTGTGACTCAAGTGGTAGAGGGAGGGCCTTGAGTGAAAAAGTTAAGAGACAGCACCTAGACCCAGAATTCAAGTTCTAGTACTGATGCCAGACACACACACACACACACACACACACACACACAATGTTTTATCAATAATCCATTGGGAGTGTTGGAGTAAGGACTGGATGGTTACATCTTTGTAATGCACCTGCCAAACTGTATTCCTTTAATCATAACTGACTTTCTGGTCCATTTTCCAGCTCAATGGCACCAGCAGATCCCACCACCTATGTCTGTCCGACCCAGTGGCAGTCGCTACGGATCTCTCACCAGTAAAGGACTTGACATATTTTCTGCCTTTTCCTCCATGGAAAGCACGGTGGTGTATTCTTGCTCTTCTCGGAGTGTGGTGGAGAGCGATGAACTTTAAGGATGTCTGGGTGGCTGCTGTGTGGAGGGGGCGGACTGAGGAGGGGGAAGGAGGACAAGCCACACAGAGGTTTCCAAGCAATTGGCTTTGAGTGAGTTCCCACACTGCTGGATCTGTGGCAAGAAATGCTTTGAACAAGGTTGGCTGGGGACTCACACTGTAGGCTGAGGGAGAGCTATAGGGCCGGGCCGCCTACAGATTCCAGCAACAACAACGAACACAACAAAATGTGAGCAGACAATACACATGAACCAAAGATGTCATACCACCGCTGTCCACTGCTTTGGGGAAAAGCTAGCCTGCTTCTTGAACCCTGTGAGCCCCGGTGAGGAGCGACTGGAGGCCCTGTGCCTGGGCTGAGAGAAGCCAGACAATAGAGACCTTAGGATAGAATGGTTTTATCCAGCAATGCAAAGGGAACAGGTGGGAAGGTCGCCATCACCTTTTTCTGGTCAGAATGGCAGCAGTAGTTTTAGTGAATTCATTCAGTCTGCTTCCAGTCAGCATTAGATCAGGCTGTGCAACCCACAGATGTGCTGAAACGCTTTTGTTTTGTACATCCTGGGTATATGCAGCCACATAATAAAGTGCCAAAATGTGCTCGAGATTTATAAAAAGCAAATCCCAGAAACACTTACTATTGTACAATGTGCTTATTCTGTGGCCAAAATAGAGCCCTAGCAGCTCAGCCATACCATTTTCTTTTGGATGGGGAACTATTTTTTTCTTCTTTCTGACTACATATGCATAGACTCTAGAACTCAAGGGCTGTTAATAAAGCAATCAAAAAAAAGAGGGGAAAAAAAGGAAAGAAAAATATTCTGCAGGGCTGCAGGGTCATTTTTTAAAGAGCCAGCTGCAGCCAGTGACTTATGCCTGTAATCCTTGCTTCTCAGGAGCCTGAGATCTGAAGATCCCAGTTCAAACAGAAAAGACTGAGACTCTTATTGCCTCCCAAAAAAGGTGGGGGGCTAGAAGAGGAGCTGTGGCTTAAGTGGTAGAGTACCAACCGTTAGCAAAAAAGCTAATGGATAGCACCTAGGCCCTAAGTTCAACCCCAGTACCAACACACACACACACACACACACACACACACACACACACACACACACACACAGAACCAACTTCAATTGTCATGTCACCTGACATGTTCCTGCCCCTCATTGAAAGTCTGGAAGCATAGGTGGTAGTGAAGAAGGAAAAGATGCAAATGGGAAGAGGAAGTGACGGGGGGAGTTGGTATCTCACCATAGCAGAGCAGGCACCAATCAAACAGCCTTCCAGTGTACAAAATACTATGCTATGTGGGGAAATGGAAGGGAAAGGATATGTGCATCTTTGTAGTAAGTCACCCATTCAAAACCTGTCTGTAAACTTACTGACTCGTGAACCTAGAAGAGTACCTAGCATCAAATAGACACTCAATAGCTATTTGCTGGTGAATGAAGCTTATGAGAGATGGTGGAATCTACAATTCACAGACCAGTCTAACACCTGCCAGTGGGAGTGGCCTCCACAGCACAGTGCATGCCAGGCTCACTGGAGAGAGAAGCTGGGGTGTCTGCTGTCAGTCCCATTTGCCCTGATCTCTGGTATTCTCTGTACCCCCTTTGCTGGCATCTTGCTCAAGTGATTTAGATAGAGGTAGGAATTTCTTAGAAAGGCTTGAAACTTTCTTTGCGTCAAGGCAAAGATGCCCAGTACAAAAATAAATTCACTCACTTAAAAAACCAGTTGTGAATCTATTCTGTATAAGATATTATGCTGGATACTATGGACGATGCAAAGAGAAGACACAGTCCCTGCCCTCAGGGAGCTTACAATCTAATAAGAGATAATATTTAAGGCATATGGAATGCTTCTTTCTTGAGTCAAAGATGTATTCGTTAGCAAATGGAAGTTTCCAGTGCTCTTTATCCTATTTTCTCATAGCTTAAAAAAGTATCTTGAGCTGGGCACCAGTGGCTCTCATCTGTAATCCTAGGTATTCAGGAGACTGAGATCTGAGGATCAAGGTTCAGAGCCAGCCCCATTGGGAAATTCCATGAGACTCTTATCTCTATTGAACTACCAAAAAGCCAGAAGTGGAGCTGTGAATCAAGTGGTAGAGCACTAGCATTGAACACAAAAGCTCAGGGACAGTGCCCAGACCCTAAGTTCAACCCCCAGGAGGGGCACAAAAAGAAAAAGAAAAGAAAGGGCATCTCAATCTGCTTTGTATTGATTTCTTTTTTTTCTCACTGACATTTTATTCTCTACTTGATTTCCTAATAAAACAAAACACCAGGACTGGAGGTATGGCTCAAATGGTAAAACACTTGTTGAACAAGTACAAGGTATTAAGTTCAAACTCCATACTAAGTACATATACATACATACATACATATATACATACACAAATTCGGTATCTACAGGATAACCGAACGAACTTCAAAATGCCGTATGACAAATTTCAGTCCATTATTCAGCAGAACTATTAGGTTTTATTTCCGTGTGTGTGTGTGTGTGTGTGTGTGTGTGTGTGTGTGTGTGTGTGTGTGTGTGTGTGTGTGTGTGCAGTAGAATGCATCTACACCTGTAAAATATGTCAGCAACAAGCACTGGTATGAAATCTCTTATAACCAAGAATCACACTCTACCCCCAAGATCACTTCTGGGTTGTACACCTATCATCACACCATATCTACTTCCCTAAACCCCAGACAATTCTCCCAGGGAGGCACATTCTGCATCTCAATTTGGGAGCTTTCTGAATCCTTTCTGCCATACTGTGTTCAACAAGAACACAGAGATATACTTAAGCACTAGGTGGCGCTGTATCACCAATATATAATGAGCCTAAAAATTCTTGAAATGGGAGCATAGGTTGTGTTTAAATCGAGATTTCTCAGCCTCAACATTCCTACCATTTGGAAGTGGACTATTCCTTGTTGTGGGGGACTGCCCTGTGCATTGTGGATAGTTTGTTGCATGAGATACCAGTAGCAGACTCTCCCAAGTTGTGACCAGCTCTCTAAACACTGCCTTATATTCCCTGGGAGGCAAAATCTCCCTCTGTAGAGAAGTGCTATGCTGAACAAAACAATGTCTTGCTTTAAGAATTCTATGAGCATTCAATTGTGAAGGAAATTTGGATAAGAAAATTTAGTTCCACTGATGTTTTTCCAACATATATCTTAATAAGCCAGCCATTCCTCAACCTAGATGAATAATTTCTAGACACCATCACATCCGTATAATCCAGATAAATGCTCAGGTGTGGTGTTGGTGGTATAGTGGTGAGCATAGCTGCCTTCCAGATAAATGCTCAGTCATTTTTGCATCCCCTTCCTAATCAATCCATTAGTTCTATAAATTCTAATATTCCTCTTATAGTCAGGCCTTCCTTTCTACTCCCCGAGGCTTCCATTTTCTCCATTTCCCTCAATACTTCTGACTTTAACTATAAAAAAACTTCTACCTGGTCTTGCTGCCTCTGGTTATTGCTGCTTCTCTCTAGATCCAGCACAGATGGCACCAGCAGGTCATTCCATCCCAAAGTACAACTCTGCTGATGTTACTCCCTCATCCTCTAACTGGCAGTACCAGCTGGTAGGTACCAACTATTTTGCTTTGCCCTGTAGTATTCAAGCTGGCATGATTCCCAATATGATAGAGAACCTTCCAGCCCCTCAGAAAGTATTCCTGATGCAGCATAACCTCTTTCCAACCACATGCTTCTCCTCTGATTCTGTCAATCTCTACCTATGGAAAGCTTAATCTTACCTGTTCCTTAAAGCCCATCCCAATGGCCACTGTCTCCATGGGATATTTTCTCATCACCTTGGGGTCTGCAGGAAGAGATCATTTGGTAGTTATATGGAACATGTTCTCTGTACATATGCCTGCCTCCTCCCCTTGAACTTGCCCCTTTTAGCTACTTGTTGCTATAGCCTACAGTAGACTTGAGTTTGTCATTGTGCCTTTGTCCTTGTTAAATTATACAGGGTAAGCATCTACTAACCATCACTGAGTCTAAGCAGTGCACATTAAAAATCTTCTGGAGGGCTTAAAAAAAACTCAACAGCCAAGTCACATTCCAAACCAATTAATAAGTCCTGGGGTTGTGGCACAGTCATCCCTAGTTTTCATTCTTTTTTTTTTTTTTTTTTTTGAAGTCCAAGACTGGAACTCTAATTTAGAACCTGCCACATTCACTCATTGGCTAGCCCTCTACCAACTGAGCCATGCCTCCAACCCCTAGTTCTTAAAGCCTTCTGAGTGGTTTTCACAGTGTGGCCAAGGTGGGAAGAATCATTTTTATTAACATGATTTGTCTCCGGATTTACCCAGAAATGTGCAAAGGGATGCAGATGGCATAAGCTGTGGACATATCCATGCAGAATGCTGTCCCCTGGTTGCACAGACAGTGCCTACCAGGAAAATAGACACAAGCACAGACACTTACCTTACTAGACCCTCTTGTTCTGTGCTAAACTCACTGGACATGCAGAATTCATGAAGCCCCCAGAGGAAACAAAAAAAAGAAAGTTGGGGGTAGGTAATTAGCTTTGTTTAACAAAAGCCATACAGTTCCATGAGTGCCCTTCTCTACAAGTACCTACTGACGGGCTCTTCATGATATGGCCCTTCACACAAGTAAGGATTAGAGGGAAATGGGCAAAGAATATGAATTTGAGTTTTAGAATAATGAGCAATTCATTCCCATGACACTCATTACTATACCATTATCTTTAAATATGATGATAAGCTATGTGTCTCATGAGGAGTAAGATACTTTTTTTTTTTTTGTCAGTCATAAGGCTTGAATTTAGGGCATGGGCTCTGAGCTCTTATTGTTCGAGGCTAGCGCTCTACCACTTTGAGCCACAGCACCACTTCCGGTTTTCTGGTGGTTAATTGGAGATAAAAGTCTCACAAACTTTCTTGACTGGGCTGGCTTTGAACCTTGATCCTCAGATCTCAGCTCCAGAGTAGCTAGGATTACAGGAACAAGCCAC